GAGGATGAACTAAGGACCCACAGTTGTCATAACGTGGTCGGTTTTATATGTTACGATGAAAAATCGTGCCTGTCGCTTTTTTGCTCGTTCGCGTTGCATTAACATGGGTTCCGTGCATTGAAAAAATATGCCAATGTTACATTGGGTTTTACCCTTACGCCGACGATTTCATTACACGCTGTAGTCTCAATGTGGTTTGAGAACTGAGTTTTACAAACTGCAAAAAAGTGCAACCATTGATAATAATGTTTTTATAGAGTAGGCGTCTTTAAGTAATCCCTGATCTCCAAGGATGAGTAAAATATTGTCAAAATCGGAGGACTTTAGGGTTGATCAAATTGACCTACTTGGTCTTCTTGTTATTAATGGGAATCAAGTCGAGATACCTGCATGAGACACCGTGGCCTTTTGACTGTGACAAGCTTACCATACGCAGGTTACCAGACACAAATGTTGCATTATACATGTACATGGAGTTGTGAATGGTTCCCCTTTGACAGTTGCTCGTACGTGCATACGATTGTTAACCAATTTGCTTATGTTTCAAACACACACATATTCGACCCCGAAAGGGTCACATAGGCTATTGGCCAAAAGGGAGCCATATTTGGCCTGGGAAGGGGTCAGGCCCCATGGGACCCAGAATCCGGGTCAGTCTGACCCTGGTGTAGAGTGCACGTTGCAACATCGGCTGCAGAGTTCCCCTTTTCCAGCCTCAAAACACCTCTTGTGTGAACCGTCAATGATTATATTACCTTGTTATTCTAGCCATCAAATTAAAGGAAACCGGGTTCAGAAGTCGTCTTCACTCCATAATGAAGGTCCACCTTAAAGCCTACAAAGGGCTGACATGAATTTTCCCTTTGAAACAGATTTTGTAAGTCTTTCTCGTCTTAAATTACAGGAAACCATTTTTGTAATCACCATTGAAAGTGCCCTTCGGTGGAAGAAACAAAAATGTTCCACGGTGTTTTCGAAACCTGTTGCAGATATATCACCTCAAGAAGATTCTGATGATTTTAGGGATTTTCTGTTCAAACTGAGACCCCGAACTTCGCTCACTAAAAACTCGATGTACTGACACCGAGTCACGAACACCCCCCCCAAGAGAGAACACTTCAAACAGAAAATTTATCCATAATCATATGTGGGTGCCGAAAGAACTGTAATATTGCAGGTTTTTGTGCAATTTCATCACACTTTTGCTCACGAATAAGCAAATTTGTATTTAATATAAAATCCCAGAGGG